AATTTTTTGTATTTTTAGTAGAGACGAGTTTCACCATGTTGACCAGGATGGTCTCGATCTCTTGACCTCGTGATCCACCCGCCTCGGCCTCCCAAAGTGCTGGGATTACAGGCGTGAGCCACCGCGCCCGGCCACCTCTGTCTCCTTTTAATTGTTGCTTGCTCTTTTTAATTGCTGAGAAGTGTTCCGTTGCACGGATGTACCACAGTTTGCCCTACTGATGGCGAAAGCGTTTGCTTCCAGTTTCTGGCGGTTATGAATGGAGCTGCTACACCCATTTGTGTAGAAGTTTTAACTGTAAACATGCGCGTCCTGTGTTTTTATTTCATTTGCATAAATGCCAACAAGAGAAATACATTTTTGTCGTATGGTAAGCACGTATCCAAATTTATAAGAAATCGCCCGACAGTTTTCTGAGATTGTGGCGCCATTTTGCATTCACGGCAGCGACGTGTGAGTTGCAGATGCCCCACGTCTTTGCCAGCATTTTGTAGGGTGAGGTTTCCTGGAAAATAGTTTTGCCATCTATTAGGCGTCTGTACAGTGGGGTCTCCTGGTGGTCGGTGCGCGTTTCCCTCGTGGCTGGCGATGCCGCCTGTCAGCCCAGGTGCCTACTTGCCGTCGGATTGTCTTCTTGGGTGAAGTGTCTGTTCAAGGATTTTGTTTTATTGAGCTGTTTTCTTTCTTAATCTTCAGGTTTGACATTTCTTTGTGTGTTCTTTTGTTGGGATATGTAATTTGTAGATACATTTCTTCCAGCGTATAGCTTTAAAAAATTAACAGCATCTTTTGCAGAGCAGTTTTTAATGCTGATGACGTCCAATCCATCCGTTCTCCTTGAATGAGTCCTCCTTCTGGGACTCTAGCTGAGAATTCTTTGCCTCACCCCAGGTCATGACGGTCTCTTTTTGTTTTCTTCTGAATGTGTTGTGGTCTTACATTCCGTGGACACCTGTGGTTGTGTGGGAGCTGGTTTTGTGTGAGGCAGGCACGTCACTTGTGTCAAGGACCGTCTGTCTGTCCTTTCTCTGTAGAATTGAGCCGAGGGTTCCATTAATAAATGACCCGTCTGTGCGGCTCTGTTTCTGAATGCTCTATCCCGTTCCATCATGTGTGTGTACAGCCCTTTCCAGCACACATACTCACACCCCTATACACACACGTGTGGAGGAAATGATTTCTTAGCTGCCCATGTGGCTGCTGCCAGCCTGTATCCACACATTTCCTCCCACAGAGCCTGCTGGGCGGTGGACAGACACTGCCTCTAGAGCCCCACAGGTGTCCCTGAGTGTCCAGGCTCCTTCTGAGAAGGGGGCAGCTGTGGAGTCTGCTTCAGGGGCTGGATGGTCAAGGGGCCTGGCAGGACACGCTGTCCTCTCAGATCCGGTAGTGGGCAGGAATCCTGCCTGTCACCGGGAGGAGGTCACCATGGACAGGGAACACTGGAGCCTTTCTCTGTGGCCCTTGGGGGTGGGACCTGCCCACTTGTCTCTGGCCCAAAAGGGCACTGGCCCTGCCTCTCCCCACTCCCAGGTTGGCAGGACACCACCAGCTGCCCTCCCTGCGGGTAATTACAGGGTCGAGGTGACACCTATGGTGCCGCCCCCCGGGGTAACTGGGAGTGGGTGGGGGAGGCAGCACCAGGGCCTGGGAGGCACAAGGGTGCCATTGTGAGCCCGCATCACCTGCAGCCCTGGCCTCCTGCTGGGGTCAGCCCTGGGTGGCAGGGCAGATGCTTCAAGCTCAGGAGCTTCCCCAGTCCCAGGAAAGAACCCGAGAACCCCTGGCTCAGAGAGCAGCGGGGGCTCAGGTCAACAGGGCGCCCTTTTGAGACCAACTGCTAAGTCCAGCCTCTGATGTCTGTGCCTCTCACCTTGCCTGTGTGTGACATGGTGACAACGGGAAGGCCTGAAGTCAGGCAGACAGGGAGGCCAGAGTCACCGGAGCAGTAACGGAGCCCCTCTTGGAGGGCTGGGTCCTCCCCTCATGGACCTGTGGCTGTGAGTAAGGGGACCCTGTGAGCAAGTCCTTACCCTCGGGGACTTAAATGCTGCCAGAGGAAGACGGCAACAAGCCATACAAAGGCGTGAACGGGGTTGTTCCAGAGGGCTCTCTGCTGGAGTGGGATGCATGGTGCCCCCAAAGACACGTCCACCCACAGCCTGTGAATGTCAGTGTGTTTGGGAAAAGGATGTTTGCTGAGGGGACTGAGTTAAGGCTCTCTAGATGAAATCTGCATCCGGGTGGGCTGGAAATCAGGAGTCTTTCTAACAGAAAGGCAGAGGGAAATTTGGGACACAGAAGGTACCATGAAGACAGAGGCAGAGATCAGAACCATGGGGCCACAGCCAAGGAATGCCTGGGACCACCAGGAGCTGGAAGAGGCAGGAAGGACCCTTCCTCCAGAGCCTTCAGAGGGAGCGGGTTCTGCCTACTCCTGGAGCTCAGATCCCTGGCCTTGGAGCTCAGAGAGGTTGTGTTCTGTTGTCCCACCCAGGGGTGGCCCTTTGCAAACAAAGATATCCTCAGGGCACTCACACAAGCCCCCTACAGAAAACCAAGTGGGGAGTGGGGAGGGTGGGATGGCTTGGGGGGATTTTCCATCCTGCCTTGGGGATTGCTCCCTAAGGAGGTTGTAGGGAAGTTGGGCCCTGAATCACAACACAGGACACTGCAGGACAATGCAACGTGGAATGTCCCAGGCACAGGACGGTGGGGACCCGGGCCACTAAAGCTGAGTTGGGAGACCCAGGACAAGCTGAATTGAAAACATGCCTCTTTCCAAAATCCTGAACCTTCTCCATCAACCTGCAGCTCAGATCTCCCCCGAAAGGCCTTCCAGGGGCAAGAGAGAGCCGTAGGGGATGCTGGCAGGGTGGGGAGCGAAGCCAGCCATTTGTCCCAGAGGCTCCAAGTGCAGAAAATGTCCATTCCTGCATGTGGTCAGTGTCCTACTACAAGCACACCAAGGTGGGAATGAGCCCGTGGAGAAAGCGGGGCCTGCTGACGCCTCCAGGGCTTAATGAGCTGTTATTCAAAACAGCCACTGTCCCTGCCAGTTGGCTGCAGGTTCTGTGGGAAGGGACTGGGTGGTCGTTGTGCCAAGCTCCCCAGGGGACCCTGAGCCGAGGGCTATAAAGGGCAGCCGGGGGAGACGCTGGCACAGTCTCTCCCAGTCCCAGCAATTCCCTGGTCAGGCAGCTGTGAACGCAGATCCCAGAAGATGAAGACCCTGCTCCTGGCCGTTGGCCTTATCCTGATCACTGACCTAGAGGCCCAAGACCTCTTTGCCTCAGAGGAGCCAGATGTGAGGCTGGGCAGGTGGCCTGGATGGGTGGCCTGGGTGTGAGTGGCCTAGGCGGGTGACCAGGGCAGGCAGGTCAGGAAGGAGCTAAGGCTGAGGCTGAGCCCCTCCCACTTCACGGGGAGCACCATGTTGTGGTCAGAGATGGATCCAATTTGGGGCCCTGGCCTGTCCCTCCCAACAGCTGTGGCCAGAGACAGCGGAAGACAGGGAGCCCAAGGAATCCATTTTACGTCATCTGCCCTGCCAGGCAGAGTGAGGGCTGAGAGGAGGGACTAGAGGAAGGGACCCGAAGCCCTGGGAGGGAGCAGGTCTCCTCGGAGGGAGTCGGGGGCGTACGGGGCAGGAGAAGGGGCGCAGCCTGGGTACTTGTGATATGTGGCAGGGGGCAGGGGTGCAGCCAGGGTGTGTGAGGGGCAGGGTCACGTGTGCAGCCTGGATGGTAGGGCAAGGACAGCAGCAGCTGCAAAGAAAACCCGTTTTTCAGATTTCAGGGACATGGTATATCAAGGCCATTGCAGCAAAAAAGGGCATTTTAGGGAAGAACGTGTACCCCCTCACGCTCTCATTGCTGAGCAGCGGTAACATACAGGCCTCCTTCACGAAGAGGTGAGCATCTGCCCAGATCCACCGTGCTCCCTCTGTCCCAGGCCAGTCAGGGACCACAGAGCCGGGGTCCTTCTGCTCTCTCATTGGCGTGGGGTGCCACTAAATGTCCCCTAACTCTGGAGGGGAAGGGCTCCCAAGGGCGGCTCAGCTGGGAGGAGGGGGCAGTGGACCCCTGGCAGGGTTGGGGTTCCTATGTTGCTTCCAGGTCTGGGGTGGGGAGGTCCCGGCACATCTCCCAAAGCAGAGATAGACGCTAGGCCACACCCTGCCCACCTGATTTCTGCTTTCCAGGAGCAATGGTCAGTGCCACAAAATAGACATGATTCTGGAGAAAACTGGGGTGCCTGGCAGATACAGAACCTGTGAGTTCCGGGTTGGGGGGGTGGCGGGTGTACCCCCAGAGAGGAAGCCCCTCCTCCCCTTGTGTCTCCCACTCAGTTTCCCTCCCTGTCCTGGGGGTGGCCCTGTGCCCAGGAGGGGCAGTTGCAGAACGTGGGTCTCTACATGTGGGGACCCCAGTGCCCGGGGCACAAGGCAGTTGGTGTACCTGGGACAGGTGAGGCACCTGGCAGGCAAGGCAGGTGAGACTGGCACTGCAGGGCTGGGGGACTCACCTGCCCTTCCTCTGTGGCCCTCCACAGCTGGGGCCCTGCACTTCCTACACATGGAGGGCTTCTCTGTGAGGGACCACCACCTGTTTTTCTCTGAATTGCAATTTGAGGGGGAAAGATTCCAAGTAGCCAAGCTCATGGGTAAGTCTCCCAGAATTCCCAGGGCCCTGCTTACTCCATGGCTTCCTGCCCGGCCCCACCACCTCTGCTCTCAGAATCTCCGGGAACCAGCATCAGCCCTTCTCTGGGTGTAGGTCCCGCACCTCTAGGGAAGCAGCGTTTGAGTCCACGTGTGCTGGGTTGTGTGTGCTGCCTGGAGTCCAGCCCAGCGCCCGAGCTCTGCCGTGGGAATAGAGTGGGGTGGACAGGGCAGACACAGCCCTCGGCGACACAAATCTGGGGTCTGGGATGTGGGGAGGTCACCTCATGGTGCTGACAGAGGCCTTTGTGGGGCAGGGCACCCCAGGGTGGGAGGGCAGCCCAGTGCCTCTGGCACACAGGGTCCTTCCAGGTTGGGGCCTGACCCTGCAGGTGATTTAAGGAGTGCCTGGGCCCCCCACGGTTGCTCAGTGGCTCACAGAGTCTCCACCACTATCCCTCTTCCCAAGGACCTGCCAGTTGGGTGGTGGCTTCTCCTCGGTCCCCCACCCCTACCCCAGAGCTCATATCCCTCCTTGGGACGGGCCTCTCCTTCTGTCCCTGGCCGGATTCTAAGGTGAAGCCCTGGGCATGGGTGGCGGCCGTCTTCTGAAGGCATCCGCCACCTGCAGAGGCATGCAGCCATCCCCACCTTGGCTAACCTGGCCGCTTCACCTGCAGGTAGGAATCCCGATGTCAACACAGAGGCCCTGGAAGAATTTAAGAAATTCGCTCAGCGCAAGGGATTCCTGGAAGATGACATCTTTATACCCCTGCAGACAGGTGAGGGGATGGCTCTGCCTGAGCTCCCCACGTCCCCTCGTGTCTTTCTGTGATCTGGGGGTACCCTGAGGCTTCCCACGTCCCTTTCCCAGGTCCCTCACATCCTGCATGTTCCCCTAGAGGACTCCAGTCCCTCACAGGGACTCCAGGGCCCTGCTTTGGGTCTTGGTCGTCAGGGGGTCTGAGCTCTGCACGTCTTCTCATCCCTGGGTTTTTCTTGCTCTCTGTAGAAAGCTGCAGTCCTGAACCACACTAGGGTAAGTGACCCTTAAAGCAAACAAGAGCCCTGGGGTTTAAAGGGCATCAGGATGCACCAGGGCACCCTCAAGTTGCAGACGGGAGGGACCCCGCCCTGCTCTGAGATCCTATCTATCCTAAAACATCAATTCCAGGACATTTACAGACTTCTTTCTTGGCTCTGTCACCTGGGTTCCCTATTTGTGTAACTTGGGAACAGTGGACAGGGTCTGGCCCCCACCATGCCCAGGCACCCGTGGAAGCCCTGTGGCTCCCCATTTTCTGGGCGTGCTGTCACCTGGGGCTCCCCAGCCCCTCCACATCCTGTGTGGGGCAGTAACATTGGCCCTGCTATGAGCAGAGTCAGGTGCCTTTTTTTTTTTTTGAGACGGTGTCTCATTCTTTTGCCCAAGCTGAAGAGCAATGGCACAATTATGGCTCACTGAAACCTTCACCTCCCAGGCTCAAGTGATCGTCCCACCTCAGCCTCCACAGCAGCTGGGACTACAGGCACGTGCCCCCACACCCAGTTAATTTTTGTGTGTTTCTGTACAGATGGGGCTTCACCATGTTCCCCAGGCTGGTCTCAAACTCCCAGGCTCAAGCAATGGGCTAGCCTCTGTCTCCTGAGTGCTGGGATTATAGGCATGAGCCACTGCCCAGCCCAGGTGCCTTCTGGTCCTGAGAAGGCCCCTTTTCCCAGGCACACCCTCACTGGCTCTCCCATGTGGGCAGACTGGTTGTGGGGAGATAGCAGAGAGGAACCCCTCTGCTCACGCCAGCTCCGCAGTCCCCCGGAGCCCGCATGTGCCCTTCACACCACAGCAGCCCCTTCCCACTGTCCCTGTCCTGGCTTCACTGAGCTTCCGTTCTTTTTCAGGGCAAGGGACACCTTGTCTCTTCAGAAGCCCCAGAGCAGCACCACCTGGCACCTCTGTCCTGCCCAGGGACTTGAGAAAATGCACCCCCCAGCCCAGCCAGCTGCCCCCTACCACCACCCTGTTCCCTGTGCCCCCTCTCCTGGTTCTCTATAAAAAGCTTCAGCAGTCCCTGTGACTCTGCCTGTGTGTGGGGTCCTTGGGCAGGGGCTGGCTGGGCACACCCTTGGGGGTCTGCTGGGTACAGGGAGTTGGTGGAAAGCGGGAGGAAGGACAGAGGACCCAGCCTCAGCCTGCTTCTCTCTGGTGGGTGCCACAGGCCAACAGTATGAAGGGCCTAGTGGAGGGTAGCTGCTGGCAGCTCAGCCGAGGGTCCCGGGGTCCTTCCTGCAGGTCAGGCACCCCTCGGAGCTCAGGCTCTGGGGAGAGGGTGTGGTGGAAGAGGGGTGTGAGGATGAGCTTCTAGGATCGAACTCAACAAACAGAAATGACCCCTCAGCAGAGGGCTGGCTCCAGAGGGCTCACCCACCTCCACCCACTGCTTCCTCTGGGGTCAGACTTGAGGGACCCTTACCACCTGCTGGGAACACACAGACCTGCCCTCGCTGCTAAGGGCACAGACCACTGCACCTCCCCACCCGGGCAAGTTCAGAAACTACAGGCGACCTTGCCCTTTCCCTTCCAAGAGGCACAGCCCCCACCCGGCAGTGCCCCCTCCCGCCTCCAACCCTGCCCACATCCCAGCTGGGTGTGCCCTCCCCCTTCTCAGCCCCCAGTTCCTCCGACAGTCCTCAGGGAACTGGCCCAGACCTGACCCGCCCTCAGCAGCAGCGTGACCTCCCTTAGTCTCTCTCCATCATTCCCTCAGCGATGGTGCATTTGCTCTTCTGCCTCTCCAATCCCACCACGAGTTTTTTTCTTAATAATTTATTAAGGGAAAATTCACAGAAGATCAACATTTTAAAGTGAACAGACCAGTGGCAGTGCATTCACAGTGCTGTGCGGCCGTCTCTATTTATTTGTTTTTGAGATGGAGCCTTGCGCTGGCCCAATCTCAGCTCACCACAACCACCTCCACCTCCTGGGTTCAAGCGAGTCTGCTGCCTCAGCCTCCCAAGTAGCTGGGACTACAGGCACACACCACCACACCTGACTAATTTTATGTATTTTTAATAGAGGCTGGGTTTCACCATGTTAGCCAGGGTGGTCTTGAACTCCTGACCTCAAGTGATCCTCCCACCTCAGCCTCTGAAAGTTCTGGGATTACAGGTGTGAGCCGCTGCACCCAGCCTTCACGTCCCCTGTCTAGGCCAGGAAAAAGTCACTCCAGAGGAAAACCCATATGCAGGCCACTCCCCTCCCATCACTGGCCCTGGTGGCCTTTCTGTCTCTGTGGATTTGCCTCTTCTGGGCGTTTCCAATTGTCATCTGTGGAGGGTGTCCAGGTTCTTACTTAGCGTTTTGAACAAAGAATTGTACAAAACACACAAAGCAAGGAAAGAATGAAGCAACAAAAGCAGAGATTTATTGAAAACAAAAGTACACTTTGCAGCTTGGGAGCAGGCCCAAGGACAGGGCTCCGAGAGCCTAGTTGTAGAATTTTTTGAAGTTTAAATACCCTCTAGAGGTTTCCCATTGACCACTGGGTGTACACTCCATCCAAATGAGGTAGTGACCTACAATCAGTCTGGTTTCAGAAAGCAACCAATCAGAGGCTGAAGTGAAGTTACAAAGGCTACTCCTATGAAAAACCTCTGATTGATTGTGGAAAGCAACCAATCAGAGGTTGAAGTTACAAAAGCTACTCCTATGCAAACCTCTGATTGGTTGTGGAACGCAACCAATCAGAGGCTGAAGTGAATTTACAAAGTTAAGCATCTAGGCAAAGGAAGACTTGTCCTGCAGTCAGTCTGATTGGTTGGGTAAAGCAACCAAACACAGGCCGAAAAGAAGTTACAAAGTTACACTCCTATGCAAATGTCTGATTGGCTGTGGAAAGCAATAAATCGGAGGTACAGTTTTCCCTCTGCCAGGCAGTAACAGTAGGGGTGGGTTGCAAAGGGAGTAGCCTCTCTTTCATTACTGTGGAAAGTTGGGGTTTTCCTTTTGATTTAGTTCTAGGAAGTGAGCATGAAAAAAAGAAACCCTTGGGGAGGGATAGGAGGTGAGACTCCTGTTTCTGAGGTGCCTGGAATGGTTAGAATCTCAGCCCTATCGTTTGGAGCCCCAGGTGGATGTTGGCTGGCGTCCCTTGGCTTGTGTCTTTGATGAGTGTGCCTGACAGAGGAGGGGGTGCTGAGTGGCGCCCAGGCAAAGCCACTCCCCGTGGGAGAGCACAGCATCTTCCAGACTCTGGGAGCCAGGAGCTTAGTGTGGCCTTGGTTTGACATATTTCCGTTGAAAATGGGTCCCTCCCAGCCCCTGACTCATGGTGAAATCGTGGGCAAAATCTAAAGCTTAGTTCCTTCAGAGGTCAAAGTCATTTTCTGGTAGAAACTTTGCATATTTTAAGTCCCTGTAAAAATGTGAGGTGTCAATCTAAATAACAAACGGAGAAATTCTGCAAATATATTAAGTTTACTCAGGAATGAGACTGCAATCTGGGATGTGCTGGCTATGTCAACACAGGCATATCAACAGAAACTGAAGCATTGGAAAGCTTTCAAGGGCAAGAGGAAGCATGCACGTAAGTTGGTTTTGAAGCAAAGAGAACACTGGTTACAGGGTCTTACCACAGGGGTTGACATGAGCTCATTGGTGGAGACGGCATGTCAGGCAGGGGTTATTGTGCATCTGGCGAGCTGTCCTCGTGACTCCTGTAGCAAGCTGCAGGTTGGAAAGTCCTTGGGAAATGTTCTTGTTACAGGCAGTTTTAGGGAAGAGCCCTTCAGGGAGCCTTTGTAATCATTCTCATCGCCGGCAGGTGTGGGTGAAGGCCCTTTCTTCTTAACCTCCTGACTCTTATTTTGTTTGAGTTTGACACAAGTGACTCCAGTGTATAATATTGACAGTGTTTACATTTCCCTCTTTTTATCAAGGTCTTCCTCCAAAAGCATCAGTGCTCAGTTGTCCCGTGATTAGATTCTGATTGTCCCTTGTGGTTGGGTTGGACCTTTCCCAGCTAGTCTGGTCCCACATAGCTGGGAAGTGCAGCTGGGAGTCAGTGTCAAGACCCTTTTGGCCACGTTTGAGCAACAAGGAGTCAGAAGGAGTGGCTCTGAGGCCAAGGGAGCCTGGAATTCATTGTAAGTTCAATTGTATCAGTTCCATAGGTGTTGATTATCATTTCAAAGTGCAGGGCCAGCATTACTCTGTTGGGAGCTGTACTTCTGCAGAAATTTAACAGACAGTAGTTACAAATTTTAAAAAAGGATCATATGGAGCAGAATTAATAGTAACATGGTAAATGTGGTTTGCATCATGATTCTAAATCATGAAGCCTGTAGATAATCAGCTGAGTGAATCAAATCACCGTGGGGAATTGGGTGAGGCTTGTTATAGCCAGATTTTAGAGAAAACTAGAAGAGTTCAGGATTCAGTGCAGCCTATAGGTAGATAATCGCAACTTGAAGACAATGAACAATCTAATCACAGGTGAAGTACAGTTTTTCTTCTGAAATAATTGTTTTCTTTTGAAACACATTTTTTCTCTGTAGTTTCCTTCATCTTTACCAAAGATAATAAGACCAATTTGTTTGCATAAGTTTCACCTTATCAAACTTGGCCTGATTATTTACATAAGTGCTGTAAGACTAGCAATTGACCATACAGGAATCTCAGATTTAAAAACCTCTTTGGGGTAGGAAGCCAAATCAAGTCAGATTTTAGACTTTGTTTGCAGTACCTACAAGCAATTTCAAATATGACATCCCAGTCAAAACCTTA